TTCAAGATTCAGCTGCTTCATCAGCAGGAGAAATGTCCTCACCCAGAATTTCCTATACCAATAAAGTAGTCCCAGATGGGCCACACCACACCATCCCCAAAAAAGATGCTCAATCCTTCTGCCTCATGCCCTTATGTGACAGTTCCACATGTGCTCATCTTCCTCCAAGGGGGAAGAGCGCCTTTAGGCATGTACCTGTCATGTCTTCCACCACCCCCATCACCTCTCCTCCTAGGAGAGAGTGAAAATCCTGTCTTGAAGTTATCGTTTAAACAACAATATTCTTTTGTGCTGCTTTGTGGTGTGAGTACTGCAATGCAGTGGAAAATAACCCATGAGGAAGTAAAGCTGACCCAAAGGGCAATGGGCCACCCAAAGGCAAGTGGACAAAGGGGGCTGAGCAAGCCCCAATCAGACACCAGCCGAGACTTGTGGGAGAGAATTAGCATCAGTGATGCCAACGGAGGCGAATGCCCAGAAAAGAAGGTGAGCCAATCACGGACTGCAATGAGACGGCTAACTGCCCCATGGGTATCCGTACATGATGAGAATTCAAGGAAAGTCCCCAGCACATTGGGCAGATGGGCAGCCTGCAATGATTGATTTCCACAAAGAATCTAAGCTCTTTGAGGACAGGAAGGGTTTGTTTTCTTTTTCCTTTCTATCCCCAGGCCCTAGCACAGGACCTTGCAAAAAGGAGATGTTTAATAAATACATGGTGACTCATGAGTTCACACATTTAGAGCTAGAATGACCATAAACCATGATCTAGTCTGACCCTCTCATTTAAAAAATATATTTACTTTGTTAAATATTTCCCAATTACATGTAAAAAAAAATACCTTTTTTTTTAAAAAATTGTGATTCCAAATTCTCTCCTTCCCTTCCACCCCTCTCTCCCTCTCACCTTGGGAAGGCAAGCACTCTGATTTCGATTATACATAAACAAATATATTTCCATGTTGCAAAAAACACACACAAACAAAAGAAACACTAAAAAGAAAGTTTAAAAAGGAAGCCTCAGTCTACATTCCAAGTTCATCAGTTTCCTCTCTGGAGGTGGTTAGCATTTTTTCATCCTGGGCCCTCCAGGACTGTCTCGGACCACTGTGTTGATCGGGCTAGCCAAGTTTTTCACAGTTGATCATCATTACAATATCGGTGTCGCTATGGATAGTGTTCTGATTCTGCTCACTTCACTTTGCTTGTGTTGATAAAAAGTCTTTCCAGATCTCTCTGAAATCATCCTGCTCATCATTTCTTATAACACAATAGTATTCCATCACAATCATATACCACAACTTGTTCAGCCACTCCTCAGGTGATAGGTATCCCCTCAATGTCCAATTCTCTAAGTATTAAGTAATAGGCCTTCTCCCTTTTCTTTGCTCTTTTTAGGATGAAGACCAGTAGTGCTGTTGCTGGGTCAAAGGGCACACCCAGTTTATAGGCCTTCAGGCAGGCTTCCAAATCACTCTCCAGAATACCACCCCTCCCCCCCATTTTACGGAGAAGGAAACTAAAGGCATAGAAGTTAAGTAACTTGCCCAAGGTCACTTGGGGTAGGAATAGTAAAGCCAAGGTGTCAACCAGGCCTCTGAGTCCCACATGCAGGATTTCTCTATGTCCTACTGGGCCTCCTCCAATGATTAACCCCCCCCCACACACACACACACACTCTCAAAGCAATGGAGGCTACACTATAATCACATGGTCAGGGAGCACTTGGTGACCAACAGATATTTCCTATAAAATGAAGAATGGCAGAACCCCTGTCCCTGAGGAGGGAAACATCCTCAAGGAGAGTCAATCAGGACTACAGCAACGGTCAGCCCAGGTGAGGGAAGGCCCAGGGTCCCGGAGTCAGGAGCTAGCTGGAAGGGAAAACCTAAAGCTGTCCATTACTCATAAATAAGCACACCACTGGATGTCAGTAAAGGCTGTCATGAGCAACCCTATTAATAACACTGTCCAGACAATGAATGCTTTTCACTCTCCCTAAAAGGTCCACTGAGGCAGAGACTAGACTTCAGCTGAGGAGAGAAAATTGAGCGTCTCGTTCCTCTGTCCTCCGCTTCTGACTGTTGCCATAATTGCACATAATTGAGGGCTCAGAACTGTGGCCCCTCTAAAAAGGTGCCAGATGGGCACAGTCCTTTCTGGGAGACTCTGCCTCCCAGCCCCCATCCTGACCAGAATTGCCAGTGTAACCTTACGGATAAACCTACACCATAGTGGTCACTTTGTGCTCAAAAGCCCCATAAGGGATGGAGGGTGGAGGGAGTGAGGCCTTTCTTTCAAAGAGCTTCAGAAAGCCTTTTCAACAGCCTGCCTATTAAAAGAATTGCTAAACATCCTTCCCAAACTAAGTTAGAACTGCCCTAGTCAGAACAGTCCCAGTGTGGCCTTCCCAGGGCGTGTGCTCCCCAGATGCTGGGCACCTACTTTTATTCTTTTAATTAGGGTCACAAGAGATTGTTAGGGAAGGACAGACAGGCCACAATGAAAGTTTATCCTGTCTCCTCCTCAGAAGGAATGAGTGTGAATCCGACGCAAATCACAACCACCCCTACTAGTCTGCTCCTCCCAAAGTGCACATACTTTGATCTTGGCAATCAATTAAAGTGAATATTTAGGATAAATACTGATTTTTAAAAATCAATTAAACACTAGCAGCATTCTATTCAATATCTGTATGGACATGCCCAACCAGTTTTCAAGTGAAATGAAATGGCCAGCATCATATTGCAAATCTCATTTAATCAGCAATTATTTGTTAACACCTACTATGTGCTAGGTCCTGTCTCTATCCCTTTTTTCTTTGTCTCTGTCTCTCCCTCTCTGACTCTGTCTCTGTCTCTCTATCTTGTCTCTCAGTTTGGGCAAACTACTTGCTTTGATTGCTTCTTCTATAAAATTGTAAGAGCAGGTGTGGTGAAGTGGATAGATCAGTGCATGTGGGGTCAGGAAGAAGTGGCCTCAAATCAAGACTGAGGCACACGTAACCTGGATGACCCTAAGTCACATAACCTCTATGAGTCTCAGTTTCCCTATCTTTAAAATGAGGGGGTTGAACTCTGTGACCTTCCTTCTCATTCTAGACTTAAGATTTGATGGTCCCTGCCCTCATGGAGCTTATTTTCTACAGGGGAAACATGTAGACAGAGAAGTACAAAATAAACATGCAGTAAATCCTGTTCCTGACACAGGAGGAATGTGTAACCCTGAGTAAGTCACTGAACCTCTCAATGTACTAGGTAACTCTCTAAAGACTCAGACACAGAGATGCTGACCCACGGTTCCCTTTCCCGCGAGTTCCCAGGACTAGGAATGTCACAGGTCCAGTCCGTCAGCAGGAAACACAAAGCAATTTAAGTGGTACAATGGATAGAGTGCTGGACCTTTAGTCAGGAAGACTTCTCTTCCTGAGTTCAAATCTAGCCTCAGACAGGTAGTGGGCAAGTCACTTCACCCTGTTTGCCTCAGTTTCTCCATCTATAAAATGAGCTGGAGAAGGAAATGGCAAACCAGTCCAGTATCTCTGCCAAGAAAACACCAAATGTTGCCACAAAATACGGGATAGGATTGAACAACAAGGCAGCCACACCCAACCCTACCAGCTGGGGGGAATCAGGGAAAGCCTCAGGCAGGAAGGAGGAGGCACTAGATATGACCTTTCCAAGGAGTCCGAGATTATGAGAGAGGGACAAGGAGCCAACATAACTTCACAGAAAACTGGGTCGGAGAAAGGGGCATCTTGAATTGGACATGCTGGGCACCCACTGGCCCATACAATGCCCTGGAGCTGTGCCCCCACTTTGGCATCACTGAGTTGGAGGTGGGGGTAAATGAGCCAAATCAAAATGCGAAGGCTGGAAAAGCAACACAGAGCCCCAGGACCAGACATCGCCTTCTCCTGGGGCTGAGTCCTGGGGAGAAACCTCCCAGGTTAGGAAGATGGGAGCCCAGGACACTCTGCCCAGCGGAGCCCCGCAAAGAGGGAGTTTACAAGCTCCTACCACTCCGTGGCCTAAATCCAGCCGGGACAGAAAACAGGGTATCTGCAAGTCAAAGGTCAGAGCCCTCCCCAGGCTCTCAAGCACCCAGGCAGGAGTCCCAGGCCAGCCTAGGAAGCCAAAGGTCCCAGACTGCTGGACCAGACGCTCCCTAGCCTTTTCCAAACAATGGCCCGCTCCAGACCCCACTGAAGGAACTTCGCAGAGAGAGCCCCTCCTCAGCCCGGTCTCCCAAAGCTCCGGCCCCGCGGGCGAAGGCTCAGACCCCCAAGAGCCCGCGGTCCCAAGGCTTTGTGCCGAAATGACAGAGCGAACAAAGGGGCCTCAGCTTCCAGCCCACCTTCCCAAGACACATCTGGCGCCAGTCCGGGAGGAGTTCTCGGAGGCTTCGGATCTGCTTGGAGTAGGAGGCATTTTTCTGGAGCCTCACGACCCCTCGGGGCTCAGCACCGCGGCCCAACCGGGAGCAGCCCCCCCCCCCCCCCCCGGGCCCAGGGCAGTGGCCAAAGCAAAGCCGCCTAGCGGGGTGCAAGTGATTGCTCCGCTCTGCCCTTTTATGGGCCTGGGGAGGGAGCCTTACAAAATCAAGCTGGCCTCCACTGCTTTCCCCCAGCCTCCAGGAGAGGCTCCCGGGGTGGGGAGGAGGGACAGTGACAGCCTCTTCGATATCCGGGCCAGGACGTCCCAAGTGTCAACTTTTTGAAAAGCCTGGAGCCCTGGGGAGGGGTCTTCAGCAGCCCCACCTCTGCTGCTCGCTACGGGATACGGGGCAGCAAGGGGCGGGGGAGGCCGCCCCCACCTCCCGGGGCTCCGGGGCAGGAAAGCAGGACCCAGATTTCAAGTGCGAGTGGGGAATCCTAGGGACTCCGAGCCTTTCCTCAGCCCCGTCCCCGGCTGGAGAGCCGAGGGAAAAGGCGTCGCCCCGGGAGCCTCCCTGGGTCAGGGGAGAGAGAGGGGGGGACCCTCGGCCCCCGGGGGCCTTACCTTCTTTCACTCCGGGAAGCTTGGACTGGTCGATGCTGATTTCAGCCATGTTGGGAGCGCCGGCTCCTGCTTCTGCCTCAGCCGGGGTTGTGCTCACGGTGGGAATCCCGGAGAGGCGCCCAGCCCGGCTCGCGGAGGGTGTAGGAGCGGGCAGCTGGGGCTGGAGAGCAGCCCCGGGCAGGGGTTCGGGAACAAAGGCGAGCAGGCTGAGCGCCCCCCCCACCTTTTTCCTCCACCTCTTCCTCCTGGTCGGCCTCGCCCTCCCTTCGCTCGCCTCGCCGCGCTAGGGAAGCCGCAGCCACCTGGACCACCTGCTCATCCTCTTCTCCGGCTCAGCTCCCCATTGACACAAAGTAACAGAAGCCAGGAAATTGACACAAAGCGTCCGGTACGGAGACAGAGAGGGGACAGAAAGCCGGCCGGGAAAGACAGAGACCGGGGAGGCGGGGAGATCTGCAGGTTTTAACCGCAATTGCCGGTCTGGCCAGGAGGACGGCGAGAACGGCCCGCAGCCTCCCGGCCTAGCCTCCCCTGCAGGCTCCTTGGTGCTACTGCACCCCCAGTCCGGAACCGCCAAAGAGCTGCCCTGGGAGTGCGCTCCGGGGCCCGCGGGGCTGGGGGGGAGGGGGGAGGGGG